TGTGGGCAAGTTTGAAGTCAACATAATTTTGGTTCCTCATTTGGTATTTTATATTTTCCTCCTGGATATGGGTCTTATAATATGTTTATAGTTAAAAATCAATAAAAAAGTTCAATATATTTAGGAGTAGTTCTCATTTAATTAACTTTGTTTAAAACTAGTTTTCAGATTTAGTTTCTATTTTAATCTCTCCCAAACCAGGAATATTTTCTTCTGTTATAACTTTCCTTGTTGTAGCTCTTTAATTTATTCAGTTTTCTTGTTTGGAAATTTCTGTTGCTTGCCTGTCCCACCTCTGCTTTTCATCTTTTATAGCTACCATCAGCTTATGCTTATCATATGCTTATTTCTTGGCTAATCTTCACCTTCATTTTGCGGTTCTCCATCAGTAGTTTCCAAGGGCTGGTCTGTGGATGGTTGCTAGACGGAATGTATCAAAACTACCCAGGGAGCTTCTTAAGAGTAGTTCTTCAAACTCTGTCTCCAGAGATTTGCTTCTACTTGACCTGATTTTGAAAAATGTGTATTTACACCAGTTTAGTGGTGAAGAGAAATGGGGAGACTAAGAAGGACATTCCTGGTGAGCTCCAGTGTCTGTCAGGCCAGTAAGTCTGGTCTTTTTTTGTGAGTTAGAATTTTGTTCTACATCCTTCTCCAGCTCTGTCCAGGACCCTCTGTTGTGATTCCTGTCAGAGCAGTCAGTGGTGGTAGCTGGGCACCATCTAGTTGTACTAGACTCAGTTTGTTGGAGGCCATGGCAGTTGTGGTCCATTAGTCCTTTGGATTAATCTTTCCCTTGTGTCTTTAGTTTTCTTTATTCTCCCTTGCTCTGGAAGGGGTGAGACCAGTGGAGTATCTTAGATGGCTTCTCACAAGCTCTTAACACCCCAGATGTTACTCACCAAAGTAGAATGTAGAACATTTCCTTTATCCACTATGTTATGCCAATTGAGCTAGATGGTCCCTGAGACCATGGTCCCCACAGCCCTCAGCCCAGTAATTCGGTCCCTCAGGGAGTTTGGATGTGTCTATGGAGCTTCCATGACCTTTCTTTGTACAAGTTGTGCTGTATTCCTCAGTATTGTGTACTGTCTTACCCTTCACCAAAGTTACCACTTATCTATTGTCTGTTTAGTATTTTTCCATCCCCAACACTCCCCTCCCCCATCACTATCAAAAATTGTTTCTTTTTCATGGGTTTTTACAATAGAGGTCTCATACAATATTTGTCCTTTTGTGATTGACTTATTTCACTCAGCGTAATGCCCTCCAGATTCATCCATGCCATGAGATGCTTCGCAGATTCATCATTGTTCTTTATCATTGCGTAGTACTCCATTTTGTATGTACCACAGTTTGTTTATCCGTTCATCTGTTGATGGGCATCTAGGTTGTTTCCATCTTTTTGCTATTGTGAACAATGTTGCAATGAACATGGGTGTACTTATGTCTATTTGTGTGACAGCTCTTATTTCTCTAGGATATATTCCTAGGAGTGGGATTGCTGGATCATATGGTATTTCTATTTCTAGCTTTCTCAGAAAGTGCCGTATCTTTTTTCAAAATGGTTGTACCATTTTGCATTCCCATCAGCAGTGCACAAGAGTTCCAATCTCCCCACAGCCTGTCCAACATTTGTTATTTTCTGTTTTTTTGATATGTGCTGGTAATGCCAGGGTGAGATGGTATCTCATTGTGGTTTTGATTTGCATTTCTCTAATGGCTAGAGATGTTGAGCATTTCCTCATGTGTCTGTTAACCATAGAAGCAGAATCTTTGATGTGGTGAAAAAATGGTGAAAAATGTGAATTGATGTTCTGACCAACAGTGCTTACCTTGCTTATTGGATAATCCATCTCTGGCCTGACTCTGAGGTGTCTATGGGCTATTGGTTCAAGTTCAGTTCAATATGGACCACCTACTATGTGCCAGGTCATTTGCTGATGTTCCGTCTCCCAAGGAACCACAAACTGGTTTAGGAGGCCAATGCTTAAACAGATAAAGTCAATATAGTCTGTAAGAGCAGTCATACAGGATAGCCACAATATTCTTAGAGCTCAGAAAAGAGGGACCTAATCTGGGGTGATGGAGAGTGATGGCTCCAGGAAGCCTGTTTAGATGAGATGATATCTGAGTGGAGACTTAAAGCATGAGTAGGGAGGTGGAAGTATAACTGGTGAGGGGACAGGGTATGAAGAGAGGAACAGGAGGGGAGAAAGTGGTAGGGGTATTCAAGGCAGAGGGGACCTCATGACATAGACACTGATGTCAGTCATAGCATGGCAGTCACCACAAGAACTTCACTATTGCTGAAGGGTAAAACGTCAGGGACTTAGCAGCATGAGATAAAGCAGGAGCTGGCAGCAGAGTCTAGTTATGGAGGGCGCTATTTGCCAGGTTTGACTTTGTGCATAGGTGGATGTCGGAGGATGGATAGAAGGGGACAGGAACAACGGTGGCAAGAACAACCAAGAAGTTGTAGCAATAACTGAGGTGGGAAATGAGAAAAGATTAAGTTCTGAACCTGGGTAGTGTGGTATTGATGAAGAGGAAGGGATTGATTTTAGAAATTTTAAGAAGTTAAATGTAACAAATTTGGTGATGTAAGGGTGTTAGGAGTGAGGAAGAGGAAGAGAGAAGAGTCAGGGATGCCTCACAGATTTCTCGCTTTGATGACTGGGTGGATGATAGCGCTAACTGGGGGAAATGAAGACAGGAAATAAAAAGGAAATCATGTCAGGGGAAGAGAGGCATGGAAGGCAAATACCTCTTGCCCTTCCCTCTCTCCCCAAAAAATTTCCAGAAAAACAACCTAGTGGGAAATAATAGTTCAGGACCACAGATATCTATGCCTTTCTCTTGCCACATCCCCCAGCAAAAACAAAAACAGAAATAAATTTTTATTTGCACCACTACCAAAAAAAGGACCCCTGGTGATGCAGTGGTTAAGCACTTGGCTGCTAACCAACAGGTCAGCAGTTCGAACCCATCAGCTGCTTTGCGGGAGAAAGATGTAGCAGTCTGCTTCCATAAGTATCTACAGCCTTGGAAACCCTACAGGGGCAGTTCCACTCTGCCCTGTGGGGTCACTATGAGTTGGAATAGACTCAATGGCAATGGGTTTGTTTGGTTTTTTGGTCTTATGCAGGGAAAACTGGAAAATGAGCTGCAGATTTTTAGCAAGAGTTTTTAAAGCCTAAAGTCTGTGAAAAACTGTCCGAAACTGCAGATTGTTTTCCTGTATGAAGATGATAATAGAAGATGGTCATGAGAGTTAAGATGAAGGAGTACAAAATGACACTGAAAAGAGAGGGCCTGGAGAAGTCTGCCTTGGATTTGGAATTGGGAAAGCGGCGGAGAAAAGCTACTGGGCTCTGGGTGAGGCTGCAGCACACTGGAGAATGAAGGAGTGAAGAAGATAGAGCTTCAATGGAACCCATAGACCAAGCCTGAGGATTTCCAGGGGCAAGAAGGGCAAGACAGCAAGCTGGGCCACTGAGGGAAAATGGTTATGACCTAAAGCTTGAAACTCGTCTGGAATTCAATATGATTATACTCAATGTGTGATTCAGTTTTTATCTTTATGATTATATTCAATGTATGATTCAGTTTTTATTTTACTTGTACTGAACTGTTCTCGTGCTTCAAGTGTGTTCTGCTCCAACAGCTCCTTTCTGTGTCAGGAGCTGCATTGGCTCAGATGCTAGGGAATAGGAGGGGAGGTCCTTGGGGCATGGCCTGAGGAAGGGAAAACATTGCTCTGTTACATCTCTGGGTAGCATCAGCCTTCAAAGGAAGTCTGAATTGAGATCAGAGACTGGGGCAAAACCAAAAACCAGTTGCCCTGCAGTCAACTCTGACTCATGGAGAACCTATGTGTGTCAGAGCAGAACTGCACTCCATAGGGTTTTCAGTGACTGATTTTTTGGAAGTAAATCACCAGCCCTTTCTTCCGAGGCACTTCTGGGTGGACTTAAGTCTCCAGCCTCCTAGAATGAAAACAATGTCTCCTCTCAGCACCCCTCCTCCTCCTTCCTGTCAAACTTCAGGCCATATTTTTGGTAGAGTTTTTTCTTTTCCCTGTAAGGTCTTCAAAAAAAGCATGCCATTTTCCCAAGCCCTTATTTTATTTGCTTAAACCATTTCTGATTGCTTGAGTCCACAGTATTGACACAAGAGCCACAGTCCTCTGCTGTCCTGAAGGCATGTAAAAGTGAGAACTTGGACCTGAATAGGTCAAAGGCATAGTTACTCAAAGGCATGCTTTGTTTTGCTCTATAGGCTAATTTGCATGCTCTCCCAAATAGGGATGAATTGAGTTTCCCGAAGCACTTTTAATGAGAAAGAATAAGGAAACAAATTTTCTCCAAAAACTTTATTATTACCAAGTACTTTTGTTACATGGGTTGAAGAGAGAAGATTTAGACTTGCTGTCTCCCCTGTGAAACCTTAACAATTTATAAAATTAACTTAATGAAACCAGGTTTGATTTTTCTCTTATTTCAGCCCAGTCATGCACTCCTAAATGACAAAGAGGAGGAAATCCTATATCCATAAATAAGAAGAACTCAGAATTTCCAAACACCATTTAATCCTATCTAGGATGTCCTTAGGTAAAACAGACAATCCTATTCATCTTTCTCTAAAGACTTAAGAAACATAAATAGATCCATAAATAACTCATATAAATATAGGTTTCACCCTTTAAATAATAAAATTCTGAAGTCTAGAATCTTGTCTCTAAAAACAAAACAAAACAAGATAGGTAATACATAAAACGGAACTACCTGCCTCAAAGATATCTGAAGACATATTAAATACATAAATAATTTAAACCTTTAGAAAAGCAAATAAGAAGCAAAACTTGTACTCATTTCAACCTTGGTGAATTAGTTAGAAATGGGTTTGGGACTTTGAAGGATGAGGGTTCCTGAGAGGCTGGGTCTGCTTCCCAGAAGGTCTAACTGCTTCAGGGGAACCTCAGGTCTGACTCGTAACTCTCAGCCCACGTGTCGGATGATGGGAGTGACACACGTGCAACCCACAGTCACCAGCATCTTCTCCAGTCTGAAGGAGCGGGGACAGTGACCGTTCTCCCTTTTCAGGACCAGGATCTCTTGCTGGATGGGGACGGAGTTCATGTGGTGGTTCACCTTCCCCTCAGCATTGACACAGCCCAGGTAGCGGCACTTCGCCTCCCAGATCACAGAGGGGTATCTCTCAGGGTCCTCGTTGCGGCTGCAGGAGAGACAAAAGCCAGGAGGAAAGTGAGTTCCTGGTAAAGCAGGAAGGAGATCAAAAAGGAATAAAAGAAGGGAGGCAAGTTCACAGGATGATAAGTTATAGGAATTACATATTCTGTAAGCGCTGTTAGTGTGAAGAAGCTTGGGGGAAAGCTGGATCTTCAAGCACATGAAATGTTATTGAAAATAAGACAAATTTCAGTGTTACCCAGTGTCTCTGAGGAATGAACAAAATAAGATAGGTGGAGACTACAGAAGGGATTTATGTTTGATAATGTATTTAGGATATAGTTGATAGATGAAAAAAGACCAAGGTAAGAGTCAGTTTGGAATTATCTAAGAATAAGACAGCTGTTGATCTGACTTGATGAAGCCTGTCTTAGAAGCAGGGAAAGCATCATTATTTTATCTAAGAATACATTCACAGGACACAGCCTGTCCTAGAAGCAGGGAATGCATCACTATTTTTTCTAAGGATGCATTCATGTGACAGAGCCCAGAGCCCAGAGCTGATATGAGGGCTGGAAACAAAAACGCAAGCCCCTTTGTAACCTTCTCTTCCTTCTCTCCTCCATCTGAGTAACTGATTTGTTTTGCCTTTTGATTGATTCATCTTAATCTTCTTAGTAATGGGAGAAGGAGAAGAAATCCTATAGTCAGGTGAATCTGTAGGCTCCACATAACTGAGACTTATCTGCACAAAGCCAAATGACCAAAATGCAGTTTGCATTTCATCTTTAATGGGGTCTAAATTCTAGGTATAGCAAGGACACAGCAACTATGGGTTTGCTGGGGATGTAGATCAAGATCTAAAGATCGAACTCAAAAAGGGATGGAAATACCCAACATGATACTTCCTCCACTGAATCTAAGCTCTATTTTCCCAATTATAATGTGATCAAAAATAAGTGCAAAAACACCAGTAAATAACACTAGTTATTTTCAGCAAGTGTTCTTAATTGTAGCTCTGGTAAAGAATATTCAAGCAGTAATCCCCTGTGTTAAATATCTATTTTTTCTGGAATAAATAATAGATTTGGGGTCTTTTAAATATTAGAACAATGGCTATCATTAATTTGGGTAAAGTTTTGGTGTCAGAGAGAATGAGATCAAATAGGACAGCTGGTATGAGGGGAGGGTCGTTTGTTCTGCCAAAGAAGTCTGTAGAATGAGAAGTCAAGTCCTTCAATGTTTGACTGGTGATTTTGAGTGAATAAAATCATTCCCAAGGTGTTCTAACTGCAATCTCTGATGCATACAGGTGTTGAAGAACACAGAGATACGTACTGGAGACTCCAAGGTGAGGTGGACCGGTTGTAGTAATCTGAGGACCTTCTGGAGTTTGTGTTCTGGTTAGTGATACTAAGGTTGAGCCTCACAGTCTGGGGGAAATCCTTGTCCTCAGCATTTGGGCATCCTGGATTCCGTGGGACTGCTAGTCCTGCCATCACCATAGCTACCAGACTCAGCAGCAGGAACAGTGACTGGAACTGAATGGAAAACATAAGAAAAGAGGAAGGTAGGATTAGTATGTGGATTTTGTTAATAAATTAATTGTGATGATGACTATATTCCTAATCATAAAGAACATACTATGTTCCAAGACGAGCTATACTAAATTTTCAGATCTGTTAAAGAAATAACTGGTTATACGGCCAAAACAATGTTAGACTATGAAGTTTTTTATCAATATTAAATATTCTTCTTTTGACTTAGGAAAGACATGTTATGCATCCCAAACCAAACCCATTGCTATTGAGTTGATTCCGACTCATAGTGACCCTATAGGACAGAGTAGAACTGTCCCAACAAGGCTGTAATCTTTATGGAGGCAGACTGCCATATCTTTCTCCCACAGAGTGGCTGGTGGGATAGGAGCCGAGCACTTAACCACTGTGCCACCAGGCCTCCTTACATTATGCATAGGCTGGCAGTAATTTTAGTAAACATGGCAAGTAGTGCCACGTCATCCACCTGTCAGCCCATGTGTCATTACCAGATCAATGAGAGAAGAGTAACATTGATTTTCTAGGAGGAGAAGTCCTCCTGTACCATTGTTCTTGATCCAAGCATTCTGTTAAACCATATGTGAAGTCAAGCATGCACCTTGAAAGAAAGGGCTATAGAAAACCTATGTGGTATCAATATTCATGGTAGACACACCATTGGTACCACTGGTAAACATCCAACTAACAACCAGGTAAATTCCCCTTACGTTTTCTTATGCATATTTTCTAGTTTTTCTAAATTAACCTGTATTGATTTTACAATAAAATTGGATTTCCAAAAAATGTTTTAGGTTAAATATTTAAAAAATGTGAAGCCTACTGACTCTAAAACACAGTTATACATATATCTAATTAGAATAAGTAGTTTTGATGCCTAAGCCTTTGGTACAGGATAATGAAAAGAAAGGTCATTGCCGCAGTTTTTATATCCTCAAGAAGAGTGACCCATTGTCTTATGGATTAAGAAAAAAAAATGCCATACGGGAACTATATTAAATGATTTGTACTCAAGAAAAAAGACTTTTGATAAACATTCTCACTGTACAGCATCACATGACACTTCTTATGTGGCTTAGCCCTAATATAGTTATCTTTCAGTTTTAATCTCATCTTTCAAACTGATGTGTATCAGTTCTTAAAAATGTTATATAATGACTTAAGTATCCACCAAAGATTTCATTTTCCATCCTACATACATAGTGTTCTGGGATCTCTCACAGTTAAAGTACAGAGCTGCATGCCCACAGTCTAGAAATATTATTTGGTACAAATCAACGAGTGCATTACATGTTAGTGCAGAACTCACCACAGACGAGATCCTCACAGAAGACATGGTAGCTTCTCTCGATTGACTGGGGATGGCTGAGCTTGTGCCTGCTACGAGGTGCGCAAAGTGTGGGGCCACTGTCTCTCTTTATATAGCACTTTGTTTCTTCTGTGGTCACTGACGTTGGTGTATCAGAGTGGGTTTGGCAGTGACACCATTTTGGTTAAAAGTTCCATCCCCAAATGAGGTCAAAGAAGAACCTCCCCTTCATGACGGCTAATATCTGCTTCTAAAGGAAAATGGGAAGGGCAGAAATTCATGTTTCAAAGACTACGTCCTCTCTTCATTTTTCAAGTAACTATTAGTAGTTGGAAGCTGAGCAAAGATGCTTTGCTATGGGCTGATATCATTTATTTATGGGCATATATGAAACTGCCCTAAGAGCTATGCTCTGTTTTAATTGCTCATAGGGAAATAAAAGTTTAATGTAACATATATGTCTTCTGGTGTCAAGTACTGTCTTAGTCATCTAGTGCTGCTACAACAGAAATACCACAAGTAGATGGCTTTAACAAAGAGAAATTTATTTCCTTACAGTAAAGTAGGCTAAAAGTCCAAATTCAGGGTGTCAAATCCAGGAGAAGGCTTTTTCTTTCTCGGCCTTCTCATCAGTGTTCCCCCGGGCTAGGAGCTTCTCAGCGCAGGGACCCCGGTCCAAAGGATGCGCTCTTCTCCCAGCACTGCTTTCTTGATGGTATGAGATCCCCCTGTCTCACTGTTCATTTCTCTCTTTTATATCTCAAGAGATTGCCTCAGGACACAATTCAGTCTTGTAGATCCAGTCCTGCCTTACTAACACAACTGCCACCCATCCTCCCTCATTAACATCGTAGAGGCAGGATTTACAAGATATAGGAAAATCACACAGTACCAGGAATCATGGCCCAGCCAAACTGATATACACATTTTTGGGGGGACATAATTCAATCCATGACAAGTACCTTGATTTCTCATTTGATCTTTCCTTTCCACACTAGATTCCCTGGCAAGATGTCATGAGGACAATTCCAGAAACTACTCAAGTTCCCTTCATATAAACAAATGAAATGAACAAATAAATAATGTAATGTTGACAGGCTATATGTAATTGAACTTAACAGCTGTTTTGTTGAATGTCTACTTTGCTCTAGATTCTAAAGATGTGATATTTACTATGTGTCTAGCATAGCATGTGACCAAGCAAGTTGCTAATATTTAATGTTTTGAGGCTCAGTCTCGTGCAGTTCTTCAGGAGGAGTGAGATGAAGATGGAGGAGAAAGGAGATGCAGGTGGACAAAGTGAGGAAGGAATTGAAAATGGAGATGGAGCCATGAAGAAAAGTGAAGAAGGTGGAGAAAAAGGAGGGCAAAGGATAGAAGAGTGTGATAAGAACAAGAAGGAAGAGGAGGAATGAGGGGACATAGGAGGAAAGACAGAAGAAAATCGCTACATCTCTCTTTTTCTCTCTACTCTTTAAGTGAGATGAACTTTGATTTCGGGTCTTTAGGAATAGTTGCTTCTCAGCAATATAGAGGTATAGCACAAAGATGAAAAAGATGAGGGGTCAGTGGATACAGACGTGGCTTGCTACATGTCACCCCTCTCTTAGTCCCCTTTCCCAAGTTCCCAGGCCCTCTCAGCTGATACCTCATATTCTATATGGTACGCCCGGAGGCTGACCGGCATTACTAACTCAGCAGTTGGGGTGTACAATAAGTTTACCTGTTTGTCCTCACGTCTGGTCCTTCTTGCCTGGCTCAACTCTACCTCAGAAAACCAACCCCTGCAGGCTGCTTTCTCAGACTCTCCATTAGCTAGCTTTCAGTTGCATTCAGCTAAAGGGAGACTGAGGGCAGAAGAGTGAGTGAGGAGAAGGGAAGAGGAGGAAGAAGCCGGGGTATTTCTCCCCTCAGCCTCCCAGAGCACTTCCTGCTTCCTTTGTACCTCCAGCATTGGGGTGGTCTTGATGACATCAATCTCCGTTACTAGTATAACCAGTTCCCTGCATTAAATTCTTTCTGTTACAAATACCTGAAGTGGTATCTGTTTTTCTGGTTAGATAGGCCCTGACAGATCTTCTGAGGGAGGCCATGAGCAGCTGTGATGGTAAATAGCCTTGACAGGCTAAGCAGACAGAAGAGCAACTAGGATGCAGCTTCTCTCGATTTCCCTACTTCTAGTGTTGGCCCTGGAGCCCTCGTGGTGTAGTGGTTAAGAGCTTGGCTGTTAACCAAAAGGTCGGCAGTTCAAATCCACCAGCCGCTCCTTGGAAACCATATGGGGCAGCTCTGCTCTGTCCTGTAGGGTCGCTATGAGTTGAAATTGACTCGGCGTCACCTAACAACAACAACAATAGTGTTGGTCCCAATCATCTTCCCTTGAAAACATGGAGTCATTGTGAGCCCACTTGTTCTTCCTCTCTATGGGATCAGGTAGCAATTTCAGAAGATGCAGTGTCTCTCACATCTGTCCCCTATTCCCAGGCCCACGGCCACTCCTCTAACTCAGACTCTTATCCATTTGGACTGTTTCAATAGCTACCTTTGCTCTTCCCAGTGGCTGCCCTTCCACCATCTCCAACATTCCTGCAACAATGATTCCCAAAGCAAGGCTCTGATTGTGCCTTTTCTTCTCCTTTTAGCTTGCATACAGAATAAAACGTAAACCCCTTAGTGTTTGAGTTAGTCTATGTGTTTCTCAGTGATTGTCTGCAAACTTCCTTTCTAGCCTCATCTTCTACCATGCTCTGTGACCTGGGCTCATGGGGTCCTGATTTTCCTCCAGGCCTCCATCTAATACCTACATGCCTTTTGTTAAGGTACTGTCTCTGAAACACCTTTCACTTCCTCAGTTTATAAAAATACTATTCATCCTTCAAGATGCTGTGTCCTCTAGGTCTGGAGGTCTCTCCTGATTTCCTCAGTTGGAATGAACAGCTCTTACCACACGTAGCTTATGCCCATCTCTCTAGTAACCTTTGTTTCATTTGGCTTTAAAAAAGTAGTCTCAAGACATATGTATATCTCGTTTTTTAGGTTTGTTTTATAATCCTTTAAGGCCAGTGTTTTACTGATCTTTGCAACTCCTGTGGGGCTAGTGTAGTGCTTTATACAATATAGGTCTTAATAGATTGCTTTTGTGTTGCTCCTTCCTCTCTGATACACAGGTGTTCATGCATATTTCTAGTGTATAACATGTCATGTGTTTACATATCTTATTTTTCTGCAAAACAGGTAGCCATCTTATCAGTCTTTGTATCACCTAGCACCCACCACCACCAGTTGCCATCAATTTGACTTTGACTCATGGTGACCCCATGTGTGTCAGAGTAGAGCTGTGCTCTGTAGGGTTTTTTCCTCCTAAATTTTATTTATTTTGCTGTTGTTGAGAATAAACACAGCAGAACATACATCAATTCAACAGTTTCTATAGTACAGTTTAGTGACATTGATTACAGTCTTTGAGTTGTGCAACCATTCTCACCCACATTCTCCAAATTGTTCATCCCTCATTAATATAAACTCACTGACTTCCTAAGGTTCCTATCTGATCTTTCAAGTTGCTGTTATCAATGTGATCCCATATAGATAGTTCTTAAAGGAGCGTAATGCTCAAGGCAGACTTTTTTTACTAGTTTAGCTAAACTATTGTTTGGTTTTCAGATGATTTCAGGGGATATTTTTGATTTAGGGTTTAAAGATTATCTCAGAGTTTCAGGAGTTCATCCATCCTCTATGACTCCAGAAACTCTAGAGTCCATGAGAATTTGAAATTTTCTTCTGCATTTCCCCCCTTTTTTGAGGATTTTTCTATGGAATCTTCGATCAGAATGTTCAGTCATGGTAGCTTGGTACCATCCAGTTTTTCTGGTCTCATGGCAAAGGAGGCAATTGTTCATGATCCATAGGGTTTTCAATAGCTGATTTTTTGGAAGTAGATCGCCAGGCCTTTCTTTCAAGGAGTCTTTGGGTGGACTTGAACCTCCCATCTTTTGGTTAGCAGCTGAGCATGTTAACTGTTTATACCACCCAGGGTCTTCATCAGCTAGCATAGTGTCTAGTAAATAGTACATGCTCAATATTCTGACCGATTGACAATAAAAATAATGTTATTTGGGAAGTTCAGAATCTTGTATATTCTTTTGGGGCCAACTACATTTCAATGACCATGCTGAGTTGTTCAATGCCTTGCCTCTCCATCTTGATCTTTCTGAAAGTAGTGTGACAAGGTTGTAGCCTATTCTAGAACATCCTGGGGTGGAGAATTCCTCACTTGTTGCTTTCTGGAAAGGATGAGGTGGAGGAAGATGTGTTTGCTGCCAGTTCCTTGGCTGAAGAGGGCACAGGTGATGGTGAAAGGGAAAAGCTGACTCTAGCTGTTCTCTCTACCCTTGCCTCCTGTTCCAATGAAATTCAGCCTTTGTGCTGTCCTTTGATAGGCCAACCCTTGCTTTAAAACAAGAATGGGGAAACAAGCTGGGTTTTCCCAAAAGTGTGACAATGGTCATTTTGAAGTGGTGGCCAGAGCTGAGTGTGCCCAGCCTTGTGTGAGGCTGATTTCCCAGATGCATGCTTGAGCCAGAAGCCTGTGGCTCCTGAAGAAGCATTTGGCAGCACGAAGAGAGTGTGCTGAGCAGGGAGGGGCTCTTTTTATTTGTCTGAAAACTGGCTCAGGTTAGGATCCCAGGCAGTTGAGGTAGAAGGAATGCTGGACTGAGAATTAGAATTTTAAGAACGTTGGATGAAAGAACATCTTTGTTTTAGTTGTGGCTCTGCCATTAACTATTCATACACTCTGGTTCTTTTCTTCTTTGAGGCTCAGCTTCCTGCTCTATAAAAAGAGGAGCTTTTGCACCAGGTAATCTTTGATGGTCTATGACTTTCGGAGAAAGAAGGCAGTGAAAGAACAAATGGAGGCGTCAATTAAGCAGTGATTACTTTACTTAGTGATGTCCTCAGATTTATCAATCTTGCTTCTCTGAAGACTTGTGAAGCAGATAGCCACAGTAATATAGAACTGCAAGTTG